AGAAAGAAAGAAAGAAAGAAAGAAAGAAAGAAAGAAAGAAAGAAAGAAAGAAAGAAAGAAAGACTATCTTCATTATCCTTTGAGGTTAGCAGGCTTACCTTATAACTGGGAGGTCATCTTAAACAATCAGGACTTATTCTTCTGTCAAGAGTCAGATTCTTGACAATAAATTAATTAGTATTTAGTTTGCTGTTCCATAGAGACCACCTGAACCTGCTGTGGATGATTTGCTTGCTTTGGATTTGCCGATTCCTACTTCGGAAGTCATGGCACCCCCACTTTAATATGTGAAAACCACAATTCTGTAGTTCTTTAAAATGAAATGCCTATATACAATCGTTGATAAACCTTGTATAACCTTGTATAATCCTTAACAGATTTTTCTTTTTCTTTGGGGATCAGATTTCCAATGAAGCCCTTGCAAATATTAGGACCATAGCTGGGATTGGAAGGGAGAAAACTTTTATCAATGCTTATGAGAAAAAGCTAGAAGTCCCCTACAGAGCGGCTATTAAAAAAGCAAACGTTTACGGAGTTTGTTATGGCTTTGCCCAGTGTGTTTTGTTCATAGCCAATTCTGTCTCTTACCGATACGGAGGATTTTTAGTCGAAAAGGAAGGACTTCACTACAGCTACGTATTTAGGTAAGAACCCTCCTACATTCAGTAGGTACCATTTCTTTAAACACAACGGAATCTATGAATTCTCATATTGTTACAAATATCTGACTGGAGGTAGATGTGCAAATGGGCAAATAGAATAAAATAACAGAGTTGGAAGGGACCTTGGAGGTCTTCTAGTCCAACCCCCTGCCTAGGCAGGAAACCCCACATCACTTCAGACAAATGGTTATCCAATCTCTTCTTAAAAACTTCAAGTGTTGGAGCATTTACAACTTCTGGAGACAAGTTGTTCCACTGATTAATTGTTCTAACTCTCAGGAAATCCCTCCTTAGTTCTAGGTTGCTTCTCTGCTTGATTTAGTTTCCACCCATTGCTTCTTGTCCTGCCTTCAGGTGCTTTTAGAGAATAGCTTCACTCCCTCTTCTTTGTGGCAACCCCTAAGATATTGGAATACTGCTATCATGTCACCCCTGGTCCTTCTTTTCACTAGACTAGCCATGCCCAGGTCCTGCAACCATTTGTCATATGTTTTAGCCTCTAGTCCCCTAATCATCTTTGTTGCTCTTATCTGCACTCTTTCTAGAGTGTCAACATCTTTTTTAACATCGTGGAGACTGAAACTGGATGCAGCATTCCAAGTGTGGCCTTGCCAAGATGTTAACATATAATTTAAAATCAAATTCTGGAGACTAGGCTAAAAAAAGTGGGGAGGGCTCTAATGTTTACTTGTCAGTTTCTCAATCCCAACTTGCTGATCCTGGATGAAAACCCAACCAGAAACTGTTCACCTGATTCAACAAGGCTTTTTCATACATGCATGCATACATACATACATACATACATACATACATACATACATACATATAAAGTGTCCTGCAAATTGAGACATGTCTTTTTCCAATTTCAGGGTGATTTCCTCCATTGTAACTAGTGGAACGGCTTTGGGAAAAGCATCCTCTTATACCCCCAATTATGCCAAGGCTAAAATAGCAGCTGCCCGTTTTTTTCAGCTGGTGGATCGGATTCCCCAAATCAGTGTGTACAGTGACGTCGGAGAAAAATGGGTAAGAAAATAATTGCTGTTATTCGAATCACATAATTGTAGGATTGGAAAGATCCAAAGGTCAGACAGTCCTCTGCCACCCTCGAGCAGACGAGATTACAGTGTTCTGTATGCCAGGAAACTAAGGGGAAAAGAGCAAAGTGTCCTGGTATATAACTGGGGGGCACAAATGTCAGCTCAGTGTTGAGCAAATTACATATTTAGGACACTAGTGAGGCTTTCTAGTGCCAAGGCTGAATGGTATAATATTTGCTCTTAGACACTGATTATGGCTTGACTCTTTTTGTCCTTTAGATCCCAGAAGACATAATACCCAAGGAGAACTGCTTAGTGTCATAGGTAAGGTGCCAGATTAGGAGCAGGAAGAGTCAGATTCTAATCCACCCTTGGGCACAGTAACCAGCTGTGTGACCCTGGGGTAGACATCATGTCTCAAACCTGGATAGGGAAATTAAAAAACATCTACCTATCAATTTGCACTGGAAACGTATGGTAGATTTTTAATGAAATGTTCTTGTTAGGAATGTAAGTCACCTAAGAGTTGGGTTAGAAAATATATAAACCAGGATAGACATTTTAATACTGTTACTTTAAGGGAATGCTAAAATTGTAATTGGGTGTGGTTCCTCAAATGGCCATAAGATGGAGCCACAAACCTGGGTTGTTCTGTTCTGTTGTTTCTGAGGGTGTTGCTGTTCCTGCATTTCCCTATTGAGTTTTACTGATCATCGTTATTCTTGGATTTGATGTGAGTCTTTTACTGAACTATTTATGATACTGGACTTTGTTTTTGGATTATCCCTGAACTGAAAACTGACTGCTTTAACCCTGAATGGCTTGGACTGTTTGTTGAACTTTGCTTAACCATTTTACTGGAAGTAAAACCTACCTTTTACTATACAGTGTATCTGTGTGCTGGTTGTGTGTTATTCTTCACCACTCTTACTACGTCTCCCTGTGTGCACTCATTCTCCTAACGGGGAATTACCTCAACAGTTCTCTTTTCAAGTTCTGGATAATTTTTACTTCCCAATGCTTGTCTGGTCCCTTATCAAAATCTGCCAACCAGTCCCCAATTTTATTCTATTCCTCCAGTTAGAGAACTTCTTAAGTCACTTTCGGATGGAATTGTCCTCAAAACACCAGATGAATTCATGCAACAATTACAGTCAACAAGTAAACCAATGTTGTGCACAAGAAATACAATCAGAACTGAGGTACAGGTAGTCCTCGGTTAACAACTGCTCTATTTAGTGACCATTCAAACTTAACCACCATGCTGAAACAGTAGCTGTATGATCAGTCCTTGAACTTAAGATTGTTGCATTACCCTTATGTCATGTGACCAAAATTCAGGCACTTCACATTTGTGATGGTCACGGCATCCTGTGGTTACATCATCACCATTTGCCACCCTCATAGCTGTCTCATGACAAATCAAGTCATTGCGGGAGTCAGGCAGGAAGCTGCAAGTGGTGGTCGCATGATGTGAAAGGATTCACTTAACAACTGCAGCAGGACTGATGTTGTAAATTGGGCAGGGTCGCTTGATGTTTTCCCTTCAGGATTGAATTGCTCGGTGATGGAGTGTCTCGCCTCAATTAGCGGTCGTTAAGTGAGAATGACTTGTACCGAAAATAGCAAATAAATCTAAATACGTCCTGTACAAACTTCTTTGTTTTTTCTAGGTCAGGATTACAGATTTCCTTTCTGTGACTCTGCATCAGGGCAGAAAGAAACGGTAGCTGTGTTTTTCCGCCCCCTACCCTTGTGATCTGACAAATCTGCCAGGAGCAACGTTTCATTGTGCTTTTGCTTGGGAGTGCTGGCAGAGTTAGCCACCCAGCTCAGTTGCCCCATCAGCAAAATGGGGAGAGATCAGTGCCTAGAGGGCAGAAACAACTATTTCCCTTTATTAATCCCCCTTACAATTAAAGCAGTCTCAGGGGATGGGAGGTTTTTTTCCGGAAAGTGTGCTTTTCCTTGTTATGTTGTTTTGAATGCCCCGGGCTTGAGTACTTCAGTCGGTTACAAGCAGTTCATTGTCTATTTCGTAGCAGGATCCTTCTCAACATGCGCGTGCACACATGCACACACTTTAACTGAACCAGTGCTTACCATCCTCCATAGACCACTTTCATGGCAGCCTTTTCTATTATACACATTATAATGAACACCAGCAGTAACGGTTGCTGTAAGGGTTAGGGTTTCCCAAACTGTGATATGTACCTCCCCTCCGGAAGGAGGTTTCAAAGTATTTCTAGCAGGACTTCCAGATTCTGTAATGGCTTTGTTCCCTATGCCATCAGTCTGGTAAACTCACAAGATTTGTTTCTCTCGCCATGTACAAGTATACATCCGAACTAGACTGGGTTGTTTCTCTGTGTCGTATAATTTATGTGGGTATATGAATAATTTTGTATGTATGTATGTATTCGCTTTCATTTATTTTGTCATGGTTATCTAGTGTGTATTGGAGGTGTGACCCTTAAAGAGCTGTATGCAATGAAATTTCATTTTAATGTATGCTGATTAGTGTACATTTAAAGTGACATTAAAGTTATCTATTCTATTCTATTCTATTCTATTCTATTCTATTCCATTCCATTCCATTCCCTACACTACCCTACCCTACCCTACCCTTCCCTTCCCTTCCATTCTATTCCATTCCATTCCAGACATGCAGTAAAATATATGGTACACTGGAGAATCCTCTATTTAGAGACATTGGCCAGTAGGATTTGTTTGACATGTTTTGACCTGAGGCAAAACCATAAACTTCAAAACTCTAGTGCAAGTCCTAATACTGCACTGTGGATTCGTTCAACTCTTGAAGTTGTTAGACAGTAAACAAAGCATTCATTTAAGATTTAAGATTCATTTAGATACTTTCAATACTAATTAGTGATTTTCTGGTTTTAGTGTCATCTGTAAAAGGAAAGAGTCAGTGGCAAATGGTGACAATATATATATATATTTAAATTTAAATCTCATACAGTGCACTGATAGGCACTGAATCTGCTAATCTCTGTCCTTTCATTGAAGTTGTTCAATGTTCAACTTTCCTTGAAGATTTGTTAGTATATGTACAAATCGGATTAAATATTATTGTTCTTTTTTTCTTGTTCTCCTTTCACAAAATATTAACTTTTTACAAATGAAAATGGAATAGGAAATCTTTGCACTGTGCTGAATGCAAATGGATTTCAGTTTTATCTACTTCCAATCGATTGATTTAAAGAGTGACCTCTTACAGCTTTGGGATCTACAGAAATAATAATCATTAGCTTCCTAAGTACCTTTTGCAAATTCTGAAGCAGGATTTTCTTTTTGCTGTTGTATAATCAGGATAATTTCCATGGAAGGATTGAATTTCTCAACTGCAAGTTCACGTATCCATCTCGTTCTGATACCCAAGTGCTAAACGGCCTCTCTGTCTCTGTGAAATCTGGGCAGACCCTTGCATTCGTTGGCAGCAGTGGATGTGGGAAAAGCACCTGTGTTCAACTTCTGGAAAGGTTTTATGATCCTGATGAAGGAAAAGTGGTAAGTAGCCTTTGTTGCTTTGATGGCATAAAAGTACTAATGACTGGATCTGCAATTCAGTCTTCATACATCAGCTGTATGTTCTATGACCTAGACCAGTGTTTTTCAACCTTAGCAACTTTAAGACACGTGGACTTCAGCTCCCAGAATTCCCCAGCCAGCTTGGGAATTCTGGAAGTTGTAGTCCACATGTCTCAAACGTTGCCACGGTTGAGAAACACCGCTTTTCAGATTTAACATCCCCCTTTTTTTAAAAAAGGCCTCTTTGAAATCCTTGTAAAATCCTTTTAATTCAATTTTTCATCAATCAATTTCTCAGTGCAGTTTCTTTTGCAGTAATAAAGATGTGCAAATAAATTTATAGATAAATAAATACATTATCCGTTTCATATAGATGCCCGTTTCATTTTTAGCGAGTCTGGGCAGTTTAAAGTAAAACAAATGAAGTACATAAAATACACAGTATTAAAAAAGCAAATAAAAATAAAACATGTAGTAACCAGGTATAAAAATAATTGAAGAAATGAGTATTATGTATGTTCACTCCCTTATAATGTTGTATATATATAAAACATTACTTTCCTTGAAGATTTGTTAGTGTACAGCAATGTACAAATCGGATTAAAAATCAGATTAAATATTATTGTACAAACCTGAAATTTGGCATGTATGTTCCTCTTGGTTTCTAGAAAGGATTTTTCGAAATGGCCATCGGAGCATTGGTATTTCGCATATTATTATTAACATGCTCTGATGCTAAGAAGTTCTACTTCCCCTCTCCACCTGAAAAGAAATACAGTATATTCCAAATGCAAAACACAAGCAGAGGAGAGGAGTTTCAGTTTCAGTTTCACAGCAGCAAACAGCTTTAATACAGAACAGTTGAGCTAAGCCACTCCCAGACTCCTTGCTGTCTCCTTTTTGCTCACACAGCAAATACTGTTTCAGTTTCCAAACAACTCTCTCACACACTGACAGGACTTCTGTTAGCCAGGTGAATACTGATAGATGCTGGTAAGCAGAGGCAAAATCCACCCCCCCCCTCATTTTCCTCCCCAAAAACTAAGCCCGACCACATAGTTTCGTAGCGAAGCATGGGTATTGCGCTAGTAAAATAAAGGTGTGATAAAAATCAAATCAATCAAAAAACAGAACCAATCATCCACACAACCAAGAAATCTATGTCATTCCCAGGGCCCCAGACTTGGGTACAAAGCCACATTTTCAAGGCCTTACAAAAAACCAATAGGGATAAAACTAATCTAATCTCTTTCTTTCTGGATCCTGCCCGCCAACTCTCCCTAGCTCATG